CACAGTCAGGCATTCCAAAAATAAAACAGATCTGAAAAGAGGCCTCTCACTTTGTTTTAAGTATGAGGTGTGTACAAAGCTATGAGAAAGGGAATATGAAATGAAATAACCAAATAACTTAAAAAGTCATTTTAGTCAAAAACCCATCTCTCTGTTCCATTGATAAAACTATCAATTTTTAAATTTTTTTGCAATTCTGTGTTGCATAATATCACCAAGACAAAAAATATGTTCACAGGTATACTTTTTGTTATTTTCTTTCTGGAGCACATCTTTGAGGTCGTAAGACCGCATCTGGTTAAAATAAAGTCTCTTACCCTTGCTTCCCTTCCCCCTCAAAAAGTGATTCAACCCTGAATTCCAAAAAGGAATATTCAATATAATTACTTTAAAACCAGTTATATCACTTAGACCATGAGGAAACTATATGAACATTATGGAAAACTACACAAAAGAGGGAGCTGCCACTTGCCACCCACCTCACTTCCAGCTTTGTAAGCATGTACCCAGCTAGACTCATACATATCTCACTGACTTTAGTGAAACAAACCAACACACCAAAACCAGGCCATCTCAGGCTGGAAGTTGAAACTCAAAGACATCATTTCATATACACACACATATATATTTCCTATCCTAAGCTTTAACTTTGTCTATTTAAACAGTTTAATAAAGCTCACATTTACAAAGGATTTTATCGGCAAATAAAGGTCCATATTAAAAATTTTACCAAAACAAATTTTTGTTTTACACAGCTAACACTAAGAAATATTTTCTTGGTCTTATAAAGTATATTTAATTGCATATAAGTTTTGCTTTGGGTGGGATATTGAAAACATAATTCTGCATGAAATTAGAAAAGACTAGAAACAAAAGTGAAAGTGACTAGTCAACTTTCAAAAAATCAAGTGCAAAGATAAATAGTGCAAATAATGATAACTAGAAATTTTACAGGCAACTTTACATAGTCTTTCCTGCTTTTGCACTTTTACACATTGACAACTTTATAAACCCTAACAACTATATGCAGCATGGACATGGGCTATCATTTATCTCCACTGACTAGGCTTAAAGAAGCCTTTCAAAGACTTGTCTCACAGTCATTTAAATCACTACTTCTTGACACAGGTTTGGGAATTCACTTCTTTTTAAACAAATTTCTAAGGGAGGGGCTATTTAAGAAGGCTCTGCATTGACTTAAATGAGTTATAGTATTTAACTATTATAATTTAAAATCTGACACAAAATGTGAAAATTATACTAAAGTGCCAACTCTACAAAACAAGCTATAGTAAAAATAATCCTGCTATTGTTAATGAACTTGACATTCATAAAAAAGAAAAATTACCTTCAAAGTACAAAATCAGAACCTCTTTTTTGCTATTTTTAAAAGAGATTTTTATCACTAACATATAGAGATGTGAGTAAAATGAAACTTGAAAGTAATCTGTCAAAATCACTGGGAATAAATCCATACTAAATTTGACAACAAAGAGTTAATCCAAACATACTTGAATTATGTAACTTTAAAAACAAATATTATAGTAATTCTTTATCTTAACTTAAAACACTAATGGAATAATAGGAACAGAAATCTAAACACTATCAGCTTACCCTACAAAGGACATATGAACCACCAAGATGTACTATTAATAACTTATTTTATTAATATTTGCCACCACTGAACTCTTGGGAATACTACAATTTTAAACTAAGAGACAAAGTGGGGAAACAGGAACATGAGTTTGGGGGGTATGTTGTCTAATTTTAGAAATATAGTATTATTAAGGGCCTCATAAGGTCCACAAGGTTAAATGATTGCTATGGTTGCAAATGTAAAAGAAATAAAAAAGATACCTAAAATTGCAAGTTAGTGTTTTTATCTGGTTTATTGTCCTTCGTCTAAGAAATTTGTGTGGGCCAAAGTCTCAAAGTTCTATAAAAGCAAGGAATAATAAGTATCTTTGTGGACTGCAAAATCAAATAATTTGATCTAAGGACCATTTTGAAAAGTAAACTACATTGTAACAAGAGCCCAACAAAATAGATAGTATGTGTGATAAATATTTCCGATAGTTTAAAAATAACTGCCAAAAGCTTAAAATTTTCTTTTCCTCAAAATAATAACTCCCCAGCACCCACTTGCCTTGACCAGAAAAGCTGTCATTCCACAATTGTGCTACTTAATTTGTCCCAGAAAAGCAAACATGCTACACATGAAAACAGACTTGTATAATACTTCATCACCATCATAACTCTAGCTGTAGTAAGTAACAGTTTTCTCATAATCAGTGAGGGACCCATTTTCTCCGGCTTTATTGAAACTTCCTTAGTGAAGGTCAACTTCATTTCCTTAGTAAATAACTCTCATTCAGACTCCATCATAGTACCTTTTCCTACCTCTAGTAAAAATTCCTCCCATTTTACTTCCAAACCATTCCCTATATACCTCTCCAATGCCCATCCACAAACACATTAAACAGCTCTCCTCATCCTACTCTCAAATTTCCAAACCAGTAAGTCTCAGATCCCAGTAACTTACCTAAAATACACATACCTCTTACTGTCTTCAGTTCACAAGTTTCTTAACAAACATTAATTTAGATACCCTTCATACTGCCAGCTTAAGACTATGGGGAAAATAGCAATTGGAAAAAAAAACTGCCCAGTTACCTCATAATACTGAAATTGTTCTGGATCATCATTTAGCTATGTTCTAAGGCAGGAGTCAGAAATTTATTTACTTCTCTCTGAAGAAGTAAGCTTGAGTGCCACTGGTAGGCCTACAAGAATAAAAAAGGAGAGAGAAACAAAAAGGATAGGAGAGAGATGCCAGATCTACAAGGAGGTAGGTCAAGTGCCACCAACAACTACCTGCATTGAAAACTGCCAATCCACTCCAGCTAAATGCAAGTTTGACTCAAACTCAACATGTGTCTGGTAAGTCAATAGCTGATGGCTATCATTGAGCTAGTCAAGATGAAGAGGTAAGTCACCTGTCCCATAACTTTAACTGCCACTTCACAATAAGGACATATTTTCTTAAATCCTCCTAGGATCCTTCTGTGTTAATCTACCTTAGACCAAAACACACACTAACAACAGTATTTCCATGTTTTTCACAACTCTAGAATATAAGGACTTGGTCCTTGAACTTGGAGGCCTCTTAAGCTATTAAAGTAGAACCGAAATCAAGAAAATTAAACTCTTTAGCTTAAATTTTTTTTCCATGAAATGCTACAAAATAAGCTAATTGCTAACAATAATCAAAACAATGTGTGTATTTATGAAAACATGACAATCTTGTGATTCCAAAACAAGTGAAATATTTCTGATGTGCAAGAAGCAACTTTACATAGAGGATCACCACCATGTTTCTGCCTATCGACAGGACAATTTTCCACAAAAGCAAAGGACATCAGGAAGGAAAAATACAAACCAAAACAAATACCAAACATGGGGACAAAATAAAATGAATGAGTAGTTATGACATTCTTGTTAAAAATGTTAACAAGTGACCTTTGCCACACTCAGCTTTCCTAAAGATATAAATTGCCTGGCCCATTCAACATCAAAACTTGGTAGTTAGTTTAGCAGATTCATTGGCTTGGAACCAATAATTATTTCATTTTTCATCTGGTTGTTCTTGTATCATGAAATTCTACCTGACTCATGCTAATTCTGGCTTATTTTCACTTAGCCTACAATAATGAAATTTCTGTTCAAAAAGGACCTGTCAAATGGCCTATGCCTTAAATTTAGGTTTTGTTTTAGGATCAAATACCTTCTTAAATATTAATATTAAAATCAGCTTTTCTTAAAAAAAATCACAAATTCTGCAAAGAAAACTCTATAATAATTAATTCATGAATAGCAGTGATCACTTTAGTTTTATAGTGTACTTATGAATGGCCAAAATTTGGTTAACAAGCAATGAAGTTATTGCATGTTAACCAAATTAACATCAAATATTATGATTTAAAAATTGATACGCTTTAAACAGAAATATTATGATTTAAAAATTGATACACTTTAACAAACAAATCTGCACAAATAACTTTGGTGAATTTATGTAAGCAATTCCAATAAATTCTTTCTCCTACTTATTCCACTCTCATGGAGGGGTGTGTGTGTGTGTATACATATATATGTATGTGTATATGTAAATATGTATATATACATATATACGGTGTGTTTGTGTGTGGTGTGTGTGTGTGTGTGTGTAGCTCCCAATTTTGAAGATATTAAAATTTAGGGATAATAAACTATAAATGTTAGCGTCATCACCAACTATTCCAAACCTAAGGTGCTACAGATGCCCTTGTTTTAGCATCCTTTTACGTAGACAGCAAGATCTCATTCTGATACTCAAAAGATTTTAAAAAGGGAAAAAGTCATTAGACTTGGTATCTCAATTTTTATGGTGAAGAAAATCTTAAAATTATGTTCACATGTAAAATAAACTGAATTGTGGAGCTATGAAAGCTACTCAAGGATCAGTTTCAGAAAGTCCCATTCTAAAATCATCTGGAAATCTCTGTGTGTATATCACCTGAAAAAAATGAGTGGGAATATTGTAGATGAGAAGGTAAAACATGAGTGGAAGATAAAAATAATCATGCCCACACAGTGGGGTCACCAGGGCTAGCAGATAACCCAAAATGTCATAAAAGAAAAATGTGTTTAGAACGTTTCAACAGGGCCAAAACACAAAGTGTTAAAAGCACAGAAACAAAAATGAATGAGATAATCCCCCCCAACATCAAGTTACATAAGAAAATAGGAAGAAAAAAGTTGACATAGTATCTTTTTAAATATATCAAATCTTGACTGACTTAAAAAATCATATAAAGTGCTTGGGCCATGATACCCACCCAGATTCTCATTATCAACGGATTTATCTTTTCCCCTCCCTTCCACCCAAATTTACTTCAGTTTTCCTGAAGAAAAAGTACAGCATCCCTATATTAATAAGAAATGAAAACAGTGAGTACAACTGATATAGATCCATTGACTTTTATTACAAATGTACTTGATCACTTGGCTTCAAAAAGTTTAAAATCAATACCCTATTTTCTGTATGCCAGTACAAAGCAAACTGTTTTACAAATTAAATACCTAAAAATTTGACAAAAATATTAAAATTTGATGAAAAACAATTATAAAAATCCTTAATCTCTCTCTTCAAAAAAGGAGGCAGTCTTCCCAGTCCTATTATACAATATTAATAATATTCACCATTTTTAGAATAGGTAGCTAAATTATATCTTTCTGTTAGCATACAAAACTTAGACTAATAGATTTTATTTGTATATGCTCCAGTTAAGTTTGTGAATGCCATCTGATTGCAATATAATCAACTATCTTTAACTGAATCCTAATTTACACTTATTTAATAATTTGCATAGTTTGAAAGGGATAAAGGTTATTCTACAACTAATTATCATAGGCTATTACAGTGCTACTTTTCAAGGCAATAAGTATTTGCTCCCAAATGAAATTATCTGTCTTCTTTAGACAGGGGTTAAAATTACTAGCAGCTTTCTCTATTACCTGAAAAATCAAATTGGAAGTTAACCATCTCTAGATGTGAAGGCCTAAAAAAACATACTTTCCGCTTTGAGTCAAATTTCAACCCCTGCATGGGACAACTAGAAAGTGAGACTTTCAAGGTTTTTTATTTCCCTGTTGGTTTTGGTTTCTACTCTCCATGGCTTTTTGAGAAGCTGGAAAACAGTTTGTCTTTCCTGACTAGCATGGTCTTTTTTTCCATTTGGCAAATATTCATCTACCTCCAATCTGTATCTAGTAGAGGAAAAGCCAAAATGGCTTTTCTTATGAACTTCCTTTGTTGTCAAAGGCATGTATAATGATTTCTACAGTTCTGGTTAGTTAACTTTAGCTCCCTCTGTGGTTGGATGACTGTTGCTTCTAACACCAGCATGATAAATAGGAGGCACAAATAAAAAGTAGCTTAAAAAAATTTGGTGATTTAAAAGAAAAAAAACAAACAACTCCAAACACACACACATACATGAGCATTTCAAATCTGGTGGCTGATCTCTGGATTAAATTACTTGACAGTGTCTCTCATTTTAAAGAACGTCAATATTGCAATGCAGTTCAAGTTTTCTTTTATACTTAGGCAAATAATACAGTTTAACCAAGCTCTTGGACCTTAATTGTAAGACAAAGCAGATCAATAAAAATAAGGCATACTTCTCAGGAATTAAGTTTTGTTTACTTGTTTTTGGCACATTTGATCATACTGTCTTCTATGAATAACACATATGGTCAAATATACCATTTCCTTATTTGTGTCAGCACAAACAGGGTTTGCCAACTACTAAAATAAAAACAAGGAAAAACTCCAACATAAAACACTGAGATATAGAACCTTGGTAAAGTACCGAGCACCTGGGAGGGAAGGGTAGGGAAAGAATGAAACAGGAGAGGGAAGACAAGTTTTGGGAGGGTGCTTGGGGAGGTAAAGTGAGATGCTTAAAAAAAAGAGCATCTTTACAGTCACTTAGTCTTTTCTACGATCACTTTTTAAGTCTTAAAAGATCTGCATGTGGATTTCTTTTTAAACCCACTGACCATAAATCAGACACTGGTTTCAAAATCTTAGTAAGATTGTATTCAACTGTTTTAGTGTAAAGACAACTGCACAATACATGTGCTTCTTGAGCCGGTGGGATTCCAAGCAGAATCTGTAGTATATAGGTAAGAAAGGCTTCACTTTAGGTAACTCTGGCCCTAAAGAAAACCTCATGAAAGAATTCGCATTTCAAAGAAAGGACACTTTGCCTAAGTTTGCTGTGTTTTTGTTGACTTGCACTACTTATTGCTGGCTACTTTGAAACAGTAATCTAGGAGTACTCCAACAACCTGTAGTACAAGGCTTAACTTTAAGAAGCTATAGTAAACAAGAGACAAAATCAAAGCAATTCTCTTTCCTAATTAGTAACAGCACAGAGAATGCAGTCTTTTCCATATCACAGTTAAAGTACAGTGAACAAAACAGCTCAACAAACCTTAAGACAAAAAAGTGCAGGTTATTAATGTTTACATGCAGTTGATAAGCATTCCAAATGTCACATTATGCACTGTAAAAGCTCAACTTTACTATATGGAAATAAGAAAAATGCACCTCTGGGGAGGGGGAAAAGCAATTTAATCATTTCCAGTGATTTTGTAAGTAAAGAAACTCCTAACTACTGTACGGTCACCTCATATTTAACATTTTATGAATATTAAAAGCAAACAATTTAATGAGAAAATGCACAGTACAATGAAAATAGCTTGTTATTCAACATATACAGTAGATCTCAAAAACGAAGACAACACACTAAACCAGGGAGCATAAAAATATCAAATCAAAACCCAAAGAACCAGCAGAAAAAAAAATCCTTCAAAAAGACAACTGTTTGCCTTCCTAGGCCAATGCTTTACAATATGAGAAGCACTGATACCTTCCCGCTCCTACAGGTGGTGTCTTATACATACAGCAGTTAGATCTATATGGCTGGATTTGCCAAGAAACAATTCCATCCCCAGAACTCTCTGTCAGACAAGACCCTTTTTTTTTTTTTTAATACCAAAATACTTTCTACAGAATTCCAAACCAAAATGTACTGTTTAAGGCATCTTTTTTTATAACATTTTCTCTTCACTCAAAGATGATAGTCATGCAGCAGTTTAATGATAAAAATATATTAATATTTTACTATACAGCAGCAAGAAGTTAGTCGTCAATTAAAAGCACACAAACATCTTTAAATGAAAACCTGTAAAAGACTATCGTTACAAACAATTTCAGTTTGGAGGACACCAGCTTGGTAAAGTGCTCTCCTAAACTTTGCATTTTTATACCCTACACCTTGAATATATGAGTTATAGAACATACTTTTGATAGAAGGCTTGTACACTTGGGGAACACAAATACACTTAGCATATAATGTAGCCAGTAATAACTAGCACCACAGCTACATGGAAATCCTTTACATACACCAACTTGGCTTTCACTTTAAAACAAAACTCAGAATCCATGGCTCAGTAGGATAACTATAATTGTGTTGCTCTGCTTTTTAACAGGTCTACATAAGTTAATAGCACTAGCAAAAATCAAAGGATAGCTTCAGACCTCTTACAAGTTTAGGAGACAGTGCTAGTGACCACAAATAGACTCACTACCTGATGTCCAAGTACAGGTTCACTGGAAATTGCTGCACGTTAGTTAAGTTTTTAAAATCTTTCTACACATAATAAAAAAAATATATTATGAACGATACAAGTACATCTCATATACACAATAATGACAAAACGCCTACTCAGTCAAAGCAAACAGATGCAGAAAAATATTATGGGAGATTTCCTTTTTCTTTCTTTTTCCTTTTACTATTTGAACAACTTTGGTTCCAACCATAAAAATCACAACTTAGCAAATTTCATTTAAATGCCTTTTTTAATAATTTCTTCATGTTCACAGAAGTTTCACTGACCATTTTTTATATGTTTAAGGTCCAGATGCAATGCATATTGTATAAAAGAGAGCACTTATTGTTTACCTTGCATGAATTAAACCTACGTACCTTTAACTCTACAAACTTCTGCATAACATTTAGACAAAGCTCAGACACACAGCATGCCTAGCCCTCATATATATACACATCTCTAATCACAGGTATATAGGGTGTCAAATATACTATAATAACCTCCATGTAAGGTTTGAAATTTGGTAACAAAATGAGAAAAACTAAAAATATTATTTTACGTGTTCTAAAATATCTCTTTTTTTGTGCTAAAGTCAAATGTTAGCTCAACATGAAAAGGACTTTTATATAATTCAGCAATATTATAATCTTGACCATTTTGCAAACACTTTTTAATAATAATAGCTTAAACGTGTACAAAAGTTCTTGGTTAATTAGGGAAATAAACACTCAGTTCTTTATATTTTTTAATCAAGTAGGAAACACAGTTCATATAATGTTATTACTTTTTGTATTTTTTTGTTTTTAGCAGCTGCTTACTGTTTTATATGGTGGATAAAGTGGACAACATCCAGCGATGAGTGGCAAGTCAAGAAGAGAAACTGTCAGTTGGTGGAGGTTCTGTGGGTGGTGCTCCCTTGGAGTTAACAGGTTTTTTTTTTTTTTTTTTTTTAACTTTTTAACTTTTTATTTTCTCTCTTTCTTTACAGTATATTTTCTCTGTGTGTGGCTGTGTGTGTGTGTGTGTGTGTGTATGCATGTGTGTGGGGGAGTTTTCATTCAGTTTGATCAATCTTCTTCCCCTTCTTCCTCACCCTGCAGTAGCAGGGTGGCAGCGGCGGTCTCCTCCTGCTGCTGCTGTTGCTGTTGGTGGAGCTGCTCACAGGCAGCCCGCTTCTCCCTCTGCTTCTCTTGAATCTTCTTCATCTCCTCCGAGTACTTGCAGAAGGTGTGTCCGAACTTGGCCCACACCTTGTAGGGCACGGTGATGGAGTTGCGGTAGGTGGGCTTCACCTCGCTCACTCGCATAAACACGCCGTACTTGTTGGAGCCCACATCGAAGAAGAAGCGCTTGTTGTCCACAGTCAAGGAGGTGCCCTCGGGCAGCTCGGCCGGCTCCTCCTCCACTCCGTAGTCGTCGATGAGCTTGGCCAGAGCGTCACGGAACTCGATGAGCCCCTGCGCGGGCAGCGCAATGGTCTGGCCCTGCGTGGAGCCCAGGCCAGGCCCCCGGTTGACCGTCTGGCGGATGCGCAGGAAGCGGCCGCGCTGGTTCTCCTTGAGATCCATGTAGTACTTGCGGTTCTCGCGCACCAGGAACTCGCTCTTGAGCGCCCGGCGCGGCTCGTCCTGCGCCTGGGCCAGGTCCGGCGGCTGGCTGGGGCCCAGCTGCGCGTAGTGCTCGATGAAGTCGCCCAGGTAGTCGCGGAACTCCACGGCCACTGACATGGAGAGAGTCAGGCGGCTCTTGTTACCGCCCGCGCCCACCTCGGCAATCTTCAGGAAGCGGCCCTTGGCGTTCTGCTTCACGTCCAGGTAGAAGCGCTTGTTCTGGATGTCCACCCGCTTGGAGGCCAGCTCCTGCGTCTCGTGCTGCAGCCCCCCTGGGGCCCCGCCGCCGCCGCCGCCACTGCCGCCGCCGCCCCCGCCGCCACCACCGCCCCCGCCGGAGCCTGAGCCCGAGCCGGGGTGCCCCAGGGAGCCGCCCGAGCCCAGCGCCGCACCACCCTGCTCGCTGCCGCTGTCTCGGTCCGCCATGATGCTGCGCTCCGCTGCCGTGCCGCCGCCGCCGCCTGCCGCTCCGCCCGCCGCCTCAGTCGCCTCAGCCGCCGCTGCTTTCCCTCCCCGGCTCCGCCTGCTGCCGCCGCAACCCCCACAGCCAGTCAGCCACTCTCGCGAGATCTGCGGGAGAGACGAGACAGACGAGACCCGGTAACAGGGCACTGACTCCCCAGTACAGTAGCAGGGCGCCCTACTGTACGCGCCCACCCGCCCGCCGACACGTGACCTGCGCCCCCTCCCCACTGCTAGCCCCCCGTCCGCCCGCCCGCCAGGCGGCGCCCACCCACCAGCCCTCACCCTACAACCCTGGCTGGGTGGGGGAGAGAGAGCAGGACGCGCCGCGTCGCAGCTGCTGCTGCCGCTGCCGCCGCCACTGCTACCACCACCACCACTACCGTGGCTGTTGCTGTTGGCCAGACCCTAGGCGGCCTCAGCCTGGGGAATTAGGGGACTAGGGGTGAGAAGGAGTCTGCCATACTAAACACAGGGAGTGGGCCTAACTAGCTCTGCTTTCCAGTGACTCCCCCAAAGAGGATGTGGGGGGAGGGGCCTGCGCAGCACAGCAGAGCCCGCTGCAGAGAGGGGACACCGAGTCACGGCCACCCCTTCTCATGCGGGCCTCAGTCAGACCCTGAGCCAAACCTAGACAGGCCCGCCCGCCACCCGGTTGGACTGTCTCCTACCGCAGAGCCCTGGCTGCTGAGACAGGCGAGGAAGAGAGGTGGTGCGGTGGTAACCCTTAGCTGCAGAGGGGGCTGCTAGGGATGAGGACGGGGCGCAGGCAGCAGTGGCACGGAGCGGCAGACACCTAGCCTGTCCCTCCCCTCTCCCTCCTCTCTCTCCCGCCGCTCCCCCTCCCAGCGCACACGGCAGTGGCTCTGGCCTCAGATGATCCCGCTCCCCCCTCCCCCCAACCGCAGCCCCGCACAGTCGGGCGGGCGGGCGCACTCACCGATGGGGGAAGCCGAGCAGAGGACAGTAGACGCACCAGGGCTAGGGTGCCCGCAGTGCCTGTTCCCGTCGGCTCTGCCCTTCCCCACGAGCAACAATCAAAAAGAAACCCCACATTCACCCAAAAACCTGCAGCCAGTCCCCCTTGGGACCACGACTGCCTGCCTACCCGCCCGCCTCCCCCTCCTCCTTCTGAGATTTGGGGAAGGGGGGCACCCTGCTCAGGGCTGAGCCCAGCCTGTGTTGCTGGCCAGCTCTGCGGATGAACCAGGCCCCTGTGAGCATTCAGACCCTAGCCCACTCTTCTTTTCTGGAAGGACCCAGACTGGAGGAGAAAACCAAGTAGGCTTTCGGAAATTCATGAGCTAAAAATGTTAGGAATTTCCTGGGAAACGCAGTTCCTTAACGAGATTCATTAAAGCAGGTTCGCTTGCCCCTTTTACTCGTCTTCCCAGAAACTTGTGTCAAGGAGAGACCCCACTCCGAAAAGTAAAACATTAAATGATCAATGGTTTTTATGCAGACAGCTAGGTTGCTGACCATTACTGAACCAGTGAATCTTTGGACGGTGATAGCCAAAAGGGATTTTCCCTGGTGTTATAAAGGGGCTCAGAGATAACTGATTTCTCTCTTACTAGACCTGATGTATAACCCAAGGCCTATTTCCAAATAGGTACTAAGTGCTCATACTCTCTGACTGCAGTCTGCATCCCTGGCACTGTGGAGAAAGCTAAGGCCTATCTCCAGGGGACCCCCCTGCCAATGCTCCCACACTCTTCCCCTATCACCTTCTACAGGCAGCTGAGAGGCTACAGATCACACAGCTCTGCGACTAGTTTTCTCAAGCACAGATTGCTGCCTCTATCCTGAGAAAAGTGTATCTATTCCACCCGTGGGTTGTATTCCCATTGAGCATCTCTTTCCCCAAAAGGAGACTTGCCTCCCTCACTCTTAGCCAGAGGGACAACTGGAAATATGGTTGCCCAGCTTCCTAGAAGAGAGTGGACTAACGATCAAAAAACCAAGAGCAGCCTAGGGAATAAGCCTTGTTGATTCCTGAACCCTCAAAGCCCCCGAACATATCCCTTCGCCTCCTGAACAAACTTGCCTGCTAGGTATTCACAGCTTCCTTTTTCCCTTAGTAAGAGCCCCATTCTACTCAGCATTAGCTACTTCAGCCCTGGGCTGAAGTTTGCGACTTCCCACTGAAAAGAAACAGGCAGCACCTGGCCACCAAAGAGCAAACGGGGGCAGTCCTGTGCACCGGACCCACAACAACCCACCTATGTCCAGTGGTCCCTGAAATGGCTCCCTGAAGGGAAGGCCCACGCCAAGAGATAAAAGCCCAGGCTTTGGGCTCCATAAAGAACTTGCTCACTTTGGGGGCAACCTCTAGTACCACATAGTATCATTTCCGTGTTGATTTTTCTGCACTCCCTCCCCTGTCCCAAAGTCTATTGGGAAGGGGACACAGAACTTTTGAAGCACTTTCCACTGCACAGAAATAGATGTGTGAAGAAGCAGTTGCTCCTCCAGGCTCAAACAGTGGCAATCAGGACCCTGGATAGACCCCAGCCCCTCCAGGAACAGAAAGGCTGAGCAGCAGGATCTCCACAGAGAATGGAGTGGGGCATTGCGCTTTGCTAGTAAACTGAGGCTAAGATCTGGTAAAATCCAATCTAGAAGGGCTGCTGTTCTTCCTCAAGAGTTTACCTTGCATCAAACCAAGCCCCTGCTCCCTAATGAGAATTCAAGGCAGCAACAAAGCCAAAGAGAATACGATGAGGGCCCCACCCACCCCCTGCCAGTTCCTGCCTTTCTTCTGTGCTGATTGCTGCCCCCAGGACAGAAGACTAAGACTCGAAAATGCCTTCCGTCCTATCCCAACTTCTAGTCTAAATTTTCTTGCCCTCCGTCGTCGTAAACGTCTATATACAGGGATTCCGAAGTGATTTGTTTGGAAGTACCCTGTTTTTCTGAAAAAGTGGCTGCCACCAACAACTGACTTCTTAGTTCCCCAGCGCAAAGCCAATTATGAAGATTCTAGACAGAACACAAGCTGAACATCACGTGTACACTTAAACTGAGAATTTTAAGCTCAAATCAGCAAATGACTGAGACCTAGATCTCTCCACATAAATATGTACTTATTTTATGCTATTCATTATCTCTGTATAAAACTTTTCCCTTATATGCCAGCTTCTCTCCTACTTTATACGTTTCTGAAAAGCAAACAAGATTAACATGGCATTTCCAAAATAATTCAATGATAAATAGGATATTTAGCATATTTTCACTATTGAAATGAGAGTTAATTTCAGGATAAGCCTTTAAGTGTGGGTTTTTTTCTCAGACTAAAGAGGTGAAAGGCAGCTTTCCTTGGGAGAAATGAATATAAACTTCCAGAAAAGTCTTAAAACAAAAAGTTTAAACTTTAAAACTTCACAGTTATATTTGCATTGTAACACTCAAAAGTCATTAGAAAATGAGTGGATTTTAAGACTTCTAACCATTTGTTAATTATCTAAACAATATACTAACTTGGTGAATGAAAAGTCTGTTCTAGTATCCAGCTGTTTGAATTTGTTACTGTAAAACAAATAGTTGTAAAACTAAATGTGTAATTTCATTACAATGTAGGAAAGACAAAGGGAAAACGAAATATAATATACAGCAAATTAATATGCAGCAAAAATCCATGTTAATGAAAAACTTGTCAAAAGTAAACATTTCCTTTCTCCTCAAAATTTGCTTACATTTTAAAGACATAATGTCTCTGGATTTCTTGAGCCCTTTTATTATTAATACAACAGACACATTTTAAAAAGAATAGAGACTGCTTTATTTTTAATCCCACTGTCTCTGGGTATTTAACAAACTCTTACCAACAAAAAATTGTGCGCAAAGAAATAGACATTAGGCAGAACAAAAAGGGAAAAAAGCTTTAATTTTCTTCAGCCTGAACTACAGGTGATTCTGAAATAATCTAATTCAGCTTTGGTTTTATAAAGTAAAAATCAACACACATTTATAAAATAGAAAGAGGTTGTCTACCTCTGGGTAGTAACCCTTTTGGTTATAGCGTTCCTAATAGAAACAATATGTTGATTAATATTTTACAAAATCACAAATTTCCAAAATAAAGAACATTAGCGCTTGTGTTTTCAAGTTCTTAGGTTAAATACCAGTCTTAAACCAGACAACTATCTTCAATACCCAACTCATTAAAACTAACTGGGATATTGTACTGCAAATTTTCAAAGTGGCGAAATGAGCCATTTCTTCTCATGAGTATCTACCAAAAAAGAGAAACTCCCAAATCTTAACATTTAACAACAACAACGACTAATAGTAACAGCATTTCCCGGATCTTTCTTTAAAAGCGTATCCCTTTTCTTTAGCTCACTTAATCTTGAAAATCATGACTCTTCAATGCTATTTTAATGTTTAGGATTAAAGATATGAAGTAAACATTTAAAATATGAAGAGAACAATCCACATTATAAAAATTCTTGCATTTCCAAAATGTTTTCATTTTAAGCATTTGCAGAAGAGTTAAATAAATGTAGCAGACATTCTAAATTCGATAAAAGATTCAGAGAACCCGACATTTTATATACCCCAAAGGTCCAAACAGAACCGATGTAAATGTCAATAGCTCTCTCCCTTCCGGTTGATACTTAAATGATTTTACTAGTACTCAAAGCAATGAAATCAGCAACTCTCTCTCCACACTCTAGTCAACATTCCTATTTTCAAAGCCGCAATTCGCAAACGTCAGTTGGGCGGGGGCGGTGGGGGATCTTGAAGTAATCCAAAAATTTCCTTTCCCCTTTGACAGTCCACCAAAAGATGTCAAACCAAATCCAGCCTATTGTAAAGCTCTGGGACCTCCCTTCCAAGGACACCGAACACAAGCATAGACACCGTTGCGAAAAGCTGTCCAAAAGCGCCTGGTCGGACAGAAACGTAAGGAGCCCAGACCAAAACGAATTAGAACCCTCAACAGAGGGTCCCGCAGACACCGCGGAAAAGAACGTGGCATTTATTCCAGGGTAGACAGCTACGAACCGGAGTTACCCAGCCAGTCTCTTGGGCCTCTCCAACCCAAGTTCAGGTTTATGGCAGATATATTGGTTGGGTGCCTTCCCCTACATACATCACAGCCCGCCTCCGGGGTCCACTGCCGCTCACAGAGAAGACCCCTCAGCTTCACATCCGTTCCTTTTGCCCTCGGACAAAGGTAGAGGAGCTGTGGAGCTGACCCAGCGCTGTGGGGCAGTAAAAATGCCTTGTTCGGGTCACCCATCTTTGGGCCTGGCTTCATCTGCGATGTCAGCAGCAAAGGTTTTTTTTCTGGTTTTGTTTTGTTTTTACAGCGCATCCTGGGCGGGTGTATACATTTGGTGGTGGTGGTGGGGTGGGGGGAGCTGAACAGAGGAGGGGTTGGCAGTAAAGCCTGGGTTATAGAACTCTCCTTCGTCTCCCTCCTCCCAGGGTTGCCGTGCAGGGAGTGTCAGCCACGTCTAGCGCACAGTCCCAGGCCCCAGGGCGAAGGCGGCCAGGGGAAATGGGGCTCAGGGATTGCTAAGCAAACGCATCATTGGTGGTCTCCAGCGCCTGCGGAGGTAGGATTGTCTCTTTTCTTAAGGAGCGTGTTATTTTGTTCTCTTTTGGAAGTAGGAGGGGGTTCATTCGTTTCTCGCTGCGGGGGGTGGGGGAGAACGTTGCTGCACCGCCTGGGTCTCCGAGAGGGAGGGTGCGGGGATGTCTGCAATGGTACTATAATTATTTCTGGGCTGAGAGGGCAAGTACAGGGGACGGGGCAGGCGGCACCTCGAGCTGTGGCAGTGGCAGCAGGGAAGGTCGCGAGGGGCTTACCCGGGCGGGCGGGCGGGCGCTGTCCTGCCGCAGGTGAGGGAGGGCGCAGGCTGGCGGGAGGGAGGACGCGCGCGAGGCAGGCGCGAGGAAGGGGGGAGGGGAGGAGGGCGCGCGCGCGCACACCTGTCCTGGACAGCGGCGCTAGCCGAGCTGCGCCTCACTTGGGCTCTGCGGGCTGAGGAGGGAAGAGGGCGGGCTGGCAGGCGGGGGCGGGACGCCGAGGGGAGGAGGAGGAGGCGGCTCTGTTGGCAGGCTCGGCTCTCGCTCGCTCTCCCTCCCGCGGGCAAGTCCGGCTCACACCCTGCTTCTCCCGCTCACTCACAGCCCGCTTGGCTCTCCCTCCTCCTCCTCCTTCCCCTGCGGGATCCGCTCGCCGCCGCCGCCGCCGCCGCAGACGGCAAGTCGTGGCAGCCAGACGTCGGCGCGTAACCCGGCGCTCCGTGCGTGACTCCGGGCGACGTCAGCGCGCGCACCGCGTTCCCCACCCCTCCTCCCCACTCCGCGGCTCGCGCCCTCCGCTCTCGCGTCCCTCCGTTTTAGCTGCCGCCGCGGCGGCCGCTGAGCGCGCTCTTCCCGCCCCCATCTCGCGCGTGAGCGCGCCCTCTCGGCTGTTGGCGCGTCAACATTCCGCGGCACAGGCCTTGGGGCGCGTCTGAGGAGGGGGCTGTCTGTGGCTTCTCCACCCATACTTCCTTCACCCACTGTCCGTAGCGCCCACAGAGGACTTATTCCTCGTTGGGCTTCTGAAGGCCGAAGCTAGGCTCAGGCGGGGATAGAACCCTGAAGGGCCTGCGCCAGCTCCAACTTAGGACCCTGTGCGTCGTAGCGGCTGCCGCTACCGCTGCCACCCGATCACGCCGCACCCGCGCCCCAACTCCGCCCGGGTCTCTGAGGAGGCAATAGGCCTTTCATCTCCCGGGAAGGTCTCACCTTGGCCTTCAGACACCCGCCGAGAGGGGTTGGAAGGACAGAATTAGCATAAAGAAGAGAGGCTAGACCACTTTTCAGGCTCTGGCCCCAGGAATCCTTGACAGGAAGCGTGGGGTTGCTGCCCAGCCTCCCACGCAGTATAATATATTGAAGCCGGGGCCCCTTTGAGGGAATGCGACTTCCTTGAGCCGAGGGGGAAAGAGTAAAAGTTATTTTTCATAAATTGCTATGCAAGGACAAAATGTAGAATTATAAAATGTGTTTCACATAGTCTTAAAGACTTACAATCTTTAAGACAGTCTTCTTGAAATCGTATCAAGTTTGACAAGATGTTGGGTGCACGGTAACGGTCTTCCTCGCCGCCTTTGCTGTCACGTCACCATCCTGCAACACTGAGTACACAGATGGAACATGGGTCAGCTAATAACTGCTGCAAAATAAATAGGAACTGCCTTTATAATCTTTATCATTATTTAAATAAACCTCTAAGAAGTCAAACTGTGATTTAGGAAAACTTATTCATTGCCTCAACCTATTTAACTTAGTGTATTTTGTTTTAAAGTTACTTTGCAAATACACCACAAAATGCCCCTTTCTTAGGCAATAGTAGACTTTTAAACTCACTTCTTAGAGGATCTTTTCCAAGAATCATATCTAATTGAGTCTGCGAGACAAGTGGGACTAAGGTGTAATTAATCCCATTTTACAGATGGAAACTGAGTTATCAGAATGTAAGTCAGTTGTTCAGCGTTGCGAGGAGTCGGTCACTGATAGAGGGAAAAGTCTAAGGTCTATTACTGCCTGCTTTATCCACTAAACCAGAAATCTCTCAATTGTTTTCTTCCAAGTATCTTTTGCTACCCGTATTGTAGGCAGTGCCTGATGGCTGAGAAGAATTGCAGAGGACTAGAAAAGGTTTGAGTCTGAAATTTTCTGCCTCAGAGAATTACAGCTCAGCAATAAGCTATTGCGGAACAGTTCAACTTGCGTATTAACAACAACAACAACAACACGCTTATTCCTAGCTGGAGGTGAGAAAATGAGACTGGCTTAAGGGTGATAGGTTATTTCCTTTGAATTGCTTTTTTTATTCACCTCATCTTTAGGTGGCAGCACTACTGTATAAATATCCTTCAAAGTACAGTCTTCTGCAACTTATCCTAAAGGATATTCTGTCCTAAGTGTTTCCAACTGTATTATGGAGATTAGAAGCTGGTGATTTTTTTCTTCTTATTTTTGAGATGGAGTTTCGCCCTTATTGCGCAGGCTGGAGTGCAATGGCGCGTTCTCCGCTCACCGCAACCTCTGCCTCCTGGGTTCAAGCGATTCTCCTGCCTCAGCCTCCCGAGTAGCTGGGATTAACCGGCATGCGCCACCACGCCCAGGTAGAAGCTGGTGACTTTATGATATAAAATCAGAGCTGAGAATTACAAAAAGGCGGTTCTAGAGGAGGAGAAACAGAAAAGCTATCAAAGACATTACTAAAATACATGGAGCTACGGAGGGAAAACATTGGAAAGTTTCAAGAAAAAAAGCTTTTTAAGTGTATGAGAAGCAAGTGACATCTTTAAATCTGGTCTTTCATTGAAACTTAGGACAAGATAACCTTCCAAAGCAAACCGTCCTTTCTCAGTACTGCATATTTATCAAGCATTTACAAGTTTGAATTTGTGAGTTATATATTTGCCTGTACTCAACTGTAATTTTAAAATTCAGATGCAGTTTTTCCTAGTTAACAGCGCCAAGCTTATGAAGATTCCAAATAGGACTTTATTGTTGACCCTTGTTGAAGAGAACTCCACTTGGCGTCTTTCCTGGCTTTCCTAAATTGTTCACATACAAGATAAACTACCATCACTCAGACTTACAGAAGTGAGAAGGCAAGCTGAACCAAATGTAAAATGATAGCAATTTACAGGTAATTCTATATCTTAATTTCTCCCACATTTTTATGGTAAGAAATTGTGATATATGGGGGTTATTTGGATCAAGTGTTTTCTAAGTAGAACTTTGTCATAATTAATTTTATTTATAGTAGTTCTCCTTGTGTCCCTTTATCCAAGCAACCCAATACAATTGAATTTATATGCATTTCAAAGTAGACTCTGTTTGATTTACTGTGGAAATGCAACCACCAAGTAATATAGAGGTATGAAAATCAGGAGTGAGAAATAAAAGTACTTCTGGATAGAGGATGAAATGTTAATAGTCTTTCTTCATGGCAGCTTCCATCTTTCTCAAGTCAAACTTGGAGGAGGAGTCTCAAGCAAATTGGTAGTACTCAAACTCTGCAGTATTATGTTAAGAATTTTAAGCTCTCTGGTGCCAACAAATCGTGCAGCCTGAGGGCCTTTGCTCCAAACTTCTGCCAACTCCATTTTGGCAGTAAAGTGTTCTGTTGAACAAAGTTTGCACGTGTTTAGGGTGTGAAGTGGTTCTTCAGGCGTTTATCTGGTTTTATTCCAGTTTAGGGACTTGAAGACAAGGGTCAGAAGCGTAAGACTTGTAAAGTTCCTATTTGCGCCGAAACAGACTATAGTAGCAATCTTGAATTTTTGCTTTAAGCAAGGACCGCTTTTTCTTTGTTGATGTTGGAGTTATTAAAGTGAATCCTTTACTCCTTAAATGCTAACATGTTATTGAATTGGTTTTTATAAGCAGGTAAGCATAACCCCCTCTATTGAGGGTGTGAAGCTGGGGTAAATCATTCCTCATCCTCCTAACTACACCACCACCAACGTGTGTTTATCCAGATGAAACTCACTAAACAATAATATGAAACTTGAGAGCAAAGGGACCAGTAATATTTAAACTTGACCTCATTTGTCAAATTTTATGTAACTCGGAATCTCTGATCTTTTTTGGTATCAGTTGTTGGGCTTCATCTTTTTAACCTATCTCCTCCCATTCTAGAATCATTTCACTGGTTAACAACACCTGAGCCAGATGTGTGTGCTAATTTGTTTTATTCCAAGGGTTTCTCTTCCTATAGAAAATGTATACAATCTCAATTTCCTTTTTTTTCCCAAGTAATTCTCGCAGAAAATCCTTACAGAATCTGGGATAACAGTTTAAAATCATTAAGTAATGTTGGAGCATATTTTTCATTATCATTTAAAAGTAATGACAAGAATAAAATACCAAAGTAGAAGTAACAGATGTTGAAATGATACTGTTGTCTTACATTTACCATATCAGCAAAATGTAAATTTGTAGGCTGCAAGTATGACAATTTGAAAATGGTAGTTATCCTTGATACTTTTGCAAAGAGTGTGACCTAAATTCTTATTTGCACCTTTATTTTCTTTCCTTATTTTTAAATGTAATTCAGATGTCAGAACTAACGTGGATGAACTTAGAGATGAAGAAGAAAGCTGGGCTTTTCCAAAGAGTGGACCTATCTGAACTGGATAGCACTACTGAACTTTGTTGCATACTTTATGGTGACTCTAAAACTCCTTTGCTTGCTTACTTTTAAATGCAATGTGTTGCTATACATACATACAACCAGACACTATTGCCTTCTGAGGCTAATCCAGGCCATTTTTATAACCTAATGCAGTAGCATTTTGCAATTAGATGAAGAACGTCAATGGGATTTCTTTTCATGATGATTAAAATGTGTCAGGAGAAAAAAATAGAGACAATACTCCAAGTGAAAAATATAAAGTCAGTTATTTCTTTAATATTTTGTGTTATAGTAATCATTTTTATCTTTTGACCATACTTTTTCTTGTCTACTTACTCAAACAAAATACTGAAAATTAATTATTAAATGTAAATATAACTGCAATGAGATATCATCTCATCCCAGTTAAAATGGCTTTTATCAAAAAAAACAGGGAATGACGAATACTGGTAAGGATGTGGAGAATGGGGAAACCTCATACATTGTTGGTGGGAATGTAAATTAGTACAGCCACTAAGGAAAACTGTATGGAAGTGCCTCAGAAAACTAAAACTAGCACTACCATATGATCCAGCAGTTACACTAGTGGGCATATATTCAAAAGAAAGGAAATCAGCATAGCAAAGAGGAGATAGCTGCAGTCCCATGTTTATTGAAGCCCTATTGAAATAGCCAAAATATAGAATCAACCTAAGTGCTCATCAGTGGATGAACGGTTAAAGAAAATGTGATTCATATGCAATGGAATATTATTCAGCCATAAAAAAGAATAAAATCCTGGCTGGGCGAATGGCTCATTCTTGTAATCCCAGCACTGATCTCATGAAGATAGATAGTAGGTTGGTGGTTACTAGAGGTTGAGAAGGGGAGAGGAGAGGAGAGATGAAGAGAGGTTGATTAATGGAATCAAATATACAGTTTGATAGAAGATATAAGACAGTATTTGATAAATCAGTAAGGTGACTATAGTTTAATAATCATTGTGTATTTCATAATAGCTAAAAGAATAATTCAAATAACATAAGATTAAAATTTAAGATGATAGATATCCCATTACACTGATTTGATTTTTACAAATTATATGAATGTATTAAATTATTACATGTATCCCCAAAATATGTACAAGTATTTTGTATCAATAAAAAATAAAATTTAAGATAAAGTAAATGTAATAATTAGCTTTTATTTCCTAGCTAGGAAATAATTATTTACTTAATAAGTGTATGTATGATGAAGAGATTTTTTTATATTACTATAAAAATAGACATCTTACATAAACATATTACAGTTGGTGTTTAGATGGCTTTTTTTTTCTGGCCTTGAACTTCTGGAAAGTAGGCATGACCTGCTATGTCAGGACTAGTTCTTGGAATCCTTTGTTATTTTTCAGTCAGCCTTATTTTCTTGGGTCATATTTTGAACAATATTTATCAAATGTCTTTTTACCAGACATTGTTCTAGATGCTTAAAGAAAATGAAGTTTTACTGTGATAAAAGTTTCCAGTCTATGTAAGATGGATAATAAACAAATGTATAATGCTAGATAATGATAAGTGCTAAAAGAAGAAGAAAATAAATAAGGGGAAAGAGAGTTTCTGTGCAGTTGTGTGTGAAAGTGTCCATGCATGCCACTCACCCAGTATTTTAAATAGAGTGATCAAGGAAGCCTCTCTGAAGAAGTAACATTTGAACAGAGATCTGAAATAGTCAGGCATGGGAACATTTAGTGAGATATTCCAGGCAGGCATTGTGAACAATTTATGTCACAAAAAAGTCACCCAAGTGTAAGCCAAGTAACATCCTATATGATAATTATATATACATTTTTTGTTTTTTCTTAAGTGAAAAATAAACTCATTAGGTTTTCTGGGTACTCATTAGGTTTTCAGAAAAGTTTTTCATTTAATATCATTGCTGTATATTTCTCTTAATGATTATTCTATTGTTTAATAAGATTTATGGCTGTACAGATACAGCTTCACAATCCCTTATCTGTAATTCCAAAATACAAAAAAAAATTTTTAAATCATTTAGTGGCAAAATCTGAACTAACATGAATCTATTTAAAATTATCCTTTATGGGCCAGGTGCAGTGTCTCACCCCTGTAATCCCAGCACTTTGGGAGGCCAAGGCAGGAGAATCACTTGAGGCCAGGAGTTTGAGACCTGCCTGGCCAACATGGCGAAACACCATCTCTCCTAAAAATACAAAAATTAGCTGGGTATGGTGGCAGATGCTTGTGGTCCCAGCTACTTGGGAGGCTGAGGTACGAGAATCACTTGATCCTTGGAGGCAGAGGTTGCAGTGAACCGAGATCAGGCCACTGCACTCCAGTCTGGGTGACAGAGTGAGACTCTGTCTCAAAAAAAAAAAAAGAAATTATCATTTATTCCATTTAGTGTGACTACTGATACATTTCATTATAGAAACATTAGTGTGTTTGACTAAAGGTTGCTATATATTAAGTAAAATATAGATAATACAATGTATTATACACTAAAATATTAAAAAATTAAGTCCAGATACACATGTGTTCCCAAGGATTTTGGATAAGGGATTGTAGATCTGTGTCAGATTTCTTCTTGATTTTCTGATTAAATGTTATCATTGTTGTTAATCTTTATATTGTATTTGGAAGTATAATACCTTATAGTGCCCTTATATGCTGGCACTGCATAAGCACTCTTTATATATTAGCTAATAAAATGCTAACAACAACCTTATGAGTAAATTCTATTATTCCCATTTTATAGATGAGAACACTGAGATGCAGAGATTAAGACATCTGCCAAAATCACAGTTACTAAATGGCAGAGCTAGATCCCAGTCTTCCTCTATAGCTTGCACGATCTAAACTAACTCTGCCTTTTCCTCCTCCTCCCCTTTCCCCGACCCCATTTCTGTAGTATTTATATTTAACTTACTTTGAAGAGGTTTTTTTGTTTGTTTGTTTTTCGAGATGGAGCTTCGCTCTTGTTGCCCAGGCTGAAGTACAATGGCTCAATCTCATCTCACCGCAACCTCTGCCTCCCGAGTAACTGGGAGTTCCAGTGATTCTCCTGACTCAGCCTCCCGAGCAGGTGGGATTACAGGCATGCATCACCATGCCTGGCTAATTTTGTATTTTTAGTAGAGATAGGGTTTCTCCATGTTGGTCAGGCTGGTCTCAAACTCTCAACCTCAGGTAATCTGCCTACCTCGGCCTCCCAAAGTGTTGGGATTACAGACATAAGCCACTGCAACCGGCCTACTTTGAAGAAGTTTTTAGTATCAGCCCTTTCCAAGAGCATAATTTTTATATACACTTTGAAATGTCAGCCATCAACATTTTACATTTCTTTATAAATTGGTATCTTTCAATATTTTAAAAAATTTTATTTGTTTCTGCTCTAATTTCAGCCATTTCTGTTTCCAGTTGAATTTGGAGATTTACTTATCCTCATTCTTTGTCTGATAAGTTTTCAGTCGAATGCTAGCTTTCACCATCCTTTTCCTTTCCTCTGAATATCTTTGGATAGGGATGAGGCACTTCCTTTACTGTTGTGGCTTTGTCAGATGTCAGATCACATCAAAAATTTGGATCTACTAGGATATACAAGGATCTCAAACATCTCAACAGCAAACAAACAATCCAGTTTTAAAATGGGCAATTGATCTGAACAGACATTTCTCGCGGGTGGCTCACGCCTGTAATCCCAGCACTTTGGGAGGCCGAGGTGGGTGGATCACGAGGTCAAGAGATCGAGACCATCCTGGTCAACATGGTGAAACCCCGTCTCTACTAAAAATACAAAAAATTAGCTGGGCATGGTGGTGCGTGCCTGTAATCCCAGCTACTCAGGAGGCTGAGGCAAGAGAATTGCCTGAACCCAGGAGGCGGAGGTTGTGGTGAGCCGAGATCGCGCCATTGCACTCCAGCCTGGGTAACAAGAGTGAAACTCTGTCTCAAAAAAAAAAAAAAAAGAAAAAAACATATAAATGGCCAAGAAATATATAGGGAAATGCTCAACATCACTAAGCATCAGGGAAATGCAAATCAAAACCACAATGAGGTATTATCTCACCCATCAGGATGACTATTATCAAAAAGACAAAAAATAACAAATGCTGATGAGGATGCAGAGAAAAGGAAACTCTTCTGTCCTTGCAGGAATGTAAACTAGTAGAGCTACCATTGAGAACAGTATGGAGGTTTCTCAAAAAACTAGAAATAGAACTACTATATGATCCAGCAATCCCACTACTGGGCATTTATCCAAAGGAAAGGAAATCAGTATAGGAGAGACATCTGCACCCCCATGTTTATTGCAGTACTATTCACAATAGCCAAAATATGGAATCAACCCACAAGTCCAACATGTGGATAGAGAAAATGTGGTATATATACACAATGGAATACTATTCAGCCACAAAAAAGAATGATATATCCTGTTATTTGCAGCAACATGGATGGAACTAGAGGACATTATGTTAAGTGAAATAAGCCAGGAACAAACAGAAAGCTAAACACTGCATATTCTCACTCATATGTGGAAGCTAAAAAAAAGTTCGTCTCACAGAAGTAGAAAGTAGAACAGAAGATAACTAGAGGCTGTGAAGGGTAGGGGGAAAGGAGAATAGGGAGAGATTTGCTAAAGGATACAAAATTACAGCTAGATGGGAAGAATAAGTTCTAGTGTTCTACAGCGCTGTAGGGTGACTATTGTTAACAGTAATACATAGGTTCAAATAGGTAGAAGGAGGATATTGAATGTTGCCAACAGAAAAAAAAAGACAAATGTTTGAAATGATAACTATGCTAATTACCCTAATCTGATCATTATACCTTGTATATATCAAAACATCACTATATACCCATAAATATATACAATTATGTGTCAATTTTAAGAAATTTTAAAAATTTAGATTTAGTTTGCTGAGCAGAAGCACCTGTTAAGTGAAACTCTGTAGGTTTCTCTCAATGAATTGCATTATTTGCTTCAGATCACTTTATTTTAAGCATAATAAATCTGTATTTTTTAGTTGGAATTGATTTCATTTTCAGTAGTTTGTCCTTTTCTGTAAGCAATCAGAAATTGAGATAAGCTGGATGTGGTGGCTCATGCCTATAATCCCAACACTTCGGGAGGCTGACGTGGGTGGATATTTGGAGCCCAGGAGTTTGAGACCAACTCGAGCAACCTAGCAAGACCCTATCCCTAAAAAAAAGTTTTTTTAAAAAAAGAATTAGCTGGGTGTGGTGCACGTCTGTTGTCCTAGCTACTTGGGAGGCCAGGCGGGAGGACTGCTTGAGCCTGGCGTTAGCCATGGTAGTACGACTGTATTCCAGCCTGGGTGACAGAGCAAGGCCCTGTCTCTTAACAAACAAATTTTAAAAAGGAAAGATAGATTTTGTTATTTTTATTTTTAATTTAGTTATTTCTGGCTATATACAAGCAAGATGAATTGAGTATATATTGGATCATGAAGTTTGTCCAAGACTAAAATGCCTGTGTAAGGTAAGTAGTAGGATCAATTTGAATAAATATAGGATATTGAACTTCCCAAGTATCTATTCCTGATTGTTGCAGAGATCTATTGTAGATATTTAAAAGAATCACATTTGTTGTTCTCTGTTAAAATTAATGTGTTGTCCCTGAATACAAAGATAAATGTTCTGACATACTTTTATGTAAAGCATTATCTTTTGAATAACTGATAGACTTGTTCTGAGCCAAATAGTTTCTCTGAGGTCACTCAACAGCTCATGTTTGCCAAGGTAAGGGGTGCAGTTTATGGCCACCAGAGTTGAAAGGGAATTAAACCCATCAATTTTACTTTATTAGCACCATGCTGAACCAAATTAGCCAATGAGTCCATTATTAAATTGCTGAGAAGGCAAAAAAGAAACAATAAATATGTACATGTATTGAGATTGGCTATAAAGTGTATCAGTCTATTATACGACAAATTGGAGGCTTTGCTAAGACTTTCTGCCTCCATCTCATGAGGAATCAAACAGGAGATTTTCTGATAAGACTAACCAGAGACACAGCTGTTCTCCACTAGTTCCTCTGCAACATTCTACCTTCCTGTAGGGTCCAGTACTGAACTTTTGAGACACACCCAGTGTTATTCACCAAAGTGTAACAATGTTTTAGGTGTGCAAATTTAATAGTTAATAATATACCTCTGTTGTACAAGAGCACACATTAATGAATTTGTGTAATGAACAACTTTTGAAAATCTTCTGTTTTTCCTAACTTTTATTTAGAACATCCCTCCTCTGTTCAGTGTGGTGGTCAAGAACATGGATCTGTGTAATGTAATCTCCTGGGTTCAAAACTCTGCTTTCAGATTCCTATGCAACTTTGGGCAAATTCAATTACTTAACCTCTACAGGCCCTAATTTCTTCACTTATCAAATGAGGATGATACTAAATAGTAACTACCACATAGGTATATTGTGAGGATTAAATTAGTTTAATTCATAAGATGCATTTAGAAGAGTATATGAAACATAGTAAGAACTCAATAAATGTGGACTCCCACCCCCTGCTGTATCACTTTTTCCTGCCCTTCTCTCCAGGTCCAAGCCAAGCACAAGCATTCTGTCCCACTCTCCGCCTCCTCTGATACTGCAGGATCATAGAGGATAAAGCACTAAGGCACTGTGGTGTCTAGACTCCCATATATTACTATCCTCTAGCCTAAGTTTAAAACTCTCCTCTTCCTCACCAACTGCATTGTTCTTGAAAACCTCCAAGTATTCTTCCGTTTCCTCAGTTTTGGGCCTCCTGATTACTAGAGTGTGAGTTCCTTGAGTGTAGGAACTGTGACTTAATTTCCTTGATAACTCCAGTCCCTTTCCTTCTTCCTGATGCAGAGTCTATGCTAAAAAATATTTGTTGAATAAGTGAATTAATTGATTTAAGCTTTGTGTGTTTTTCCTCATTTTCTCCTAAGTATTCTATTCTGACTCCAGTTTTTCTAGAAATTTCCCTGCTTGTTTTTTAGATGTTTAATTAATTAATTTTTTT